CGGCTCACGCGGTGAAATCATTACGTATCCTTGCGCTTCAGCCAGAGATGCTCGATTTCAGATATTTCAGTTTGCTTTTATGCACGTGACTTCTTGTTTTTCACTTTGTCGCATCGTGCTGCATCTTATTTTTCCCCAGGACTGGTGCTGGCCTCGATGCCTACGTAGGGAGAGCAGATGGCCTCCCTTGTGTTGTGCCCATCACGGCCATTGCCACCAAGCTGGATGTCACCGAGTATTGCCACGAGCACGACAGAACCCGGGTGCGTTTGAACCAGCACGCACTGGAGGCCTTGGGCAACATGAAGAAAATGCCACATTGGCCAGCGGAGTTTCTGGTGCCCCCTCCTGAGCCGCGTGAAGTGAAGTCAAGGGCTCAGAAGACTCAGAAGGATCAGAAGGATCAGAAGGATTCGAAAGCAGTAAAGGAGTCCAAGGTCCCGCCAAAATACCCCAATGCAGTGAAGGATTCCAATGATGAGCAATGTGGTCCCGTGCTGAAGACGGTGCGATTCCGTGAAAGCAAGATGGACACGGAGCCTCTGCCGGACAATTTCCGGAAAAACGAGGCCGGTCGAAAGCTCATGAAGAAGCAGCTCGTTGCAGTGATGGAGCTGTACAACTCCAAGTTTCCAACAAAGCCCTTGGTCACCAGCACAGGCAAGCTTGTGCTGCCAAATGCTTCAAAGGAGTTGGAATGGAGCGAGGTGATCGCACGAGCACCTCGGTTTTTTGAAACCGAGTTCTGCGATGTGGCTGCTCGAGCCCGCTTCAGCAGATGCGTCTTCAGGGTGTTTCAGAATTGTACAGATGCAATCAAGAGTGGAGACCGGAGACCATTCTTGAAGCTTCTGAAAGAAATCCCAGAGGCCACGCTGGGGGCTTTGTGAGGGCATGCAGTTTCACCATTGTTCATTCATTTCACATTGCAAATGCATGCAATGCAATGCATGGATGGTGCATGTGGCCAGACATGCGGGGTCACATAAATTAAAACTGATGAAACCTGATTGGCGTGACAGCTGGAAGATGCTGAAAGATCTGAAATCATCCCCCGCAGAGTGTGGCCACCAGTGCATCATCGCCCGTATTGACCATGCGGTTGTCAATGTGGGCAATAGTAGGCAAGCGAGCGCACCGGGCCTGAGTGATCAGTGAATGCTAGCAAGACATAGCAAGACCTTAGATCCCTCAGAGGCCACCAGAGCATTGCCCGTATTGGCCATGCGGGTCGTCAATGTGGAGTGCTCGTGCGATCTCCCTCACCAAAGAAAGACATGAAAAAAAGACGCAGCAAGTTTGGCTAGGATGCAGGTCTGAAAGTTTGCAGGTGGCAATTATTCACGTCAGCGTACGTCCAGCTTCTCCGGCTCAGGTTCTGTGATGACGCGCCAGAACGACACGCTGGTGGCCTGTCTCATTCCAGGTCAGGCCCACAGTGAGCTGAAATGCATGTGGCAGTCAAACAGGTTTGGTTCTGCATTCTATCAGCTGCATGCTGTGTCTTTGCTTGAGGCGTCCCAGCCTGGACCTGGATGTCTCAGGCTGGTGGCGTGGGTGACGGCGTGCGCTCTAGTTGTTTGCCAGGTCAGGCCCACAGTGAGTGCCATTGTGCAAGTTGCACAAACTGGGAGCAAGAAGATCTTAGTGGAAAGGCGTGGAGCTGATTTGCGAGCGCCCTTCTCAGCAAGCGGTTGGTGCATTTTGGCTGCATGTTCCAGGAAGCTGGAGCTCCAACACGCTCGCCAAAAGGCCCGGAGATTCTGCAGTTGTAGTCTTGATAAAATGCAGTACCAACATTTCAAGAGGTTGTTCTGGGCCACCCCTCACGATGAGACACAAAAACCGGCGCCACGTTTGCATCGCAGCTTGACCTGAATGTTCAGATCTGTTCAGGGTTGCCCGTGTGAATTTGCATTGAGTTTCCATGATGACGGCAGGCGCGCCCGCAACGACAACTTGGTGGCCTGTCTCATCACCGGGCCTCAAGTTTCACTGGAATTCTGACTACAACATGTTGTCACGTGCAGTCTGCCTGGCAATCAGGTCAAAACCAGCGAATCCTGCTCTTGCATTTGTTCTGACAAGGCCGGGAGCTGAAATGCATGTGGCAGTCAAACAGGTTTGGTTCTGCATTCTATCAGCTGCATGCTGTGTCTTTTGCTTGAGGCGTCCCAGCCTGGACCTGGATGTCTCAGGCTGGTGGCGTGGGTGACGTGGCGTGCGCTCTAGTTGTTTGCCAGGTCAGGCCCACAGTGAGTGCCATTTTGCATCATTTTGCAAGTTGCACAAACTGGGAGCAAGAAGAGCTCAGTGGAAAGGCGTGGAGATGATTTGCGAGCGGCCTTCTCAGCAAGCGGTGCATTTTAGCAGATTTTAGCATATTTTAGCTGGCTGTTCCAGGAAGCTCGCTCCTGGAGATTCTGCAGTTGCGTTCTTGATAGAATGCAGTACCAACCTTTCAAGAGGTTGTTGTGACCCCTGATGATGAGACAATAAAAGCTTCCATGCAGGTAGTGCGACGAAGGCAGGCACACGCCTGCAAGGCGGTGGCGGGTCTGGCTCCATGTCCGTGTCGTCAACTTCGCCCCCCGCTTTCCGGGTTGTTTGTTGCATTGAGGCCTCCAATTCTCCCAGAACGACAAGCTGGCGCTGTCTCATCAGGTCCGTCCCGCAGTGTTCATCGCTTATCCTTCTCGATTTTACCAGTTGCCAGGACCCCAGAGTCTTGTCACGTTCGTCTCACTGCTCGGCCCACGCACCCACCACAACAGGCTGGTGGATTCATTGGAAGTAGGCTTGTCACGGTGCGTGCTGCAGCGCAGGTCTGACTACAGCATGTTGGCACGTGCAATCTAGATTTCTCGTAGACAATTTCACGAATGTTTCTAGGCGGGTCTCATCACCAGCCAGGCTCCCAGCGTCTCGTTATGTCCGTGTCGTCAGCTTGCCCCCCGCCTTGAAGTTGCTTGTGTTATTTTGCATTGAGGCTCCCAGATCTCCCAGAACGACAAGCTGGTACTGTCTCATCACAGGTCTGTCCCTCAGTTTGCATCGCTAACATTTCTTGTTGGCTAAATTGCAGACATGGGCCTAGCTGTGAGAAGTGCATTTCATATGTTGGTTGCTATCCTGCATGTTTGAGCATGGCCATTTACAAGCTCGAGCGAGCGCTAGGTAAGGTCCAGGTGCCCCACACGAACAAGCCCACAGCATCACGCATGGTTGCAGATGCAGGCACGAAAGCGCATGGAGAAAGACGTTTGAGGATTTTGCGGATTCTGGCGGCATTGGTCGGGGCAGAGCTGACGCAGGAACTGCAGAAGCTTCAGCAGAAGAAGTCGGAGCATCAAGATGGCAGCGATGAAGGTTTGCGCGCGAGAAGGATTGGAGCAGCGCAGAAGGCAATTGCAGCATTGTGCAGCATGCTTCTTCAAGGATGCGACCAGACTGTTTCATTTGCAATATTTGCAGATGTGCGAGACAATGTGTGGTGGTTCATTACTTCCAACATGGTGGGATGCATTGGAGTTGCAATTTTGCTTTGCATGCTGCGGAAGCCAAAGCCAAAGAAGGATGCGGAGGCGCAGACGGAACCAGAGATTCGGTCGGATGAGAGCGAAGACGCTTACGACACAATGCTGAGACAGCTAGCTGACGAAGGCATCAACGCCTTGACCAGTGAGACTTTGTCCGATGCGACACCTTCTTCTAGCCATGAAGGTGGAGAGCCCGATTTGGCAGTCGAGATTGAACAATTTCCTGAATTGGTGCAATACGCGATTGAGCAGCGGCTTTCAGCCGGAGAAAGGCAGAGATTGCTGGAAGGATGGCGCGCCATGAGGAATTCTCATGCAGATGCAGACATTGCAGAATGAATCACAGTCAGAAGTGTACAGGAGCTCCTGGCATACATATGCTATGTTTTTCCTTTCCGAGATTTCCGAGCATGGATGTGTGCATAACAGTTTGTAGCAGTTGTGCACGAGCATGTTTGAGGTTGAGATGATCTTCTCAGCCTCATGGCTATGCAAGATTTGCAAGCTCGAGTGGAGAAAAGTTGAGAGCTCGAGTGGCTTTGCATGTTTTTGGTTTGTTTTTTTTTAATCTGTTTTGCGATGCTGATTCTTCCACATGTTTCCACTGAGGTCGTGCGATGATGTGGCACACCGCAAAATTGCGGCCAGTTTTGCAGAGCTACCTGTGCTCGTGCATTTTAGATGTCTCTGGCCGACGCAGCGGTTCCTGGATCCCCGGAAAAAACGGCGGACGCAATACGGATCGATACGGGATATACGGATTCTGCATCCTGAATTGTTCCAACCTCTGAAGTTGGCACTTTGCATTTTATCAATTTAAATAATTTGTCTAAAATGCGGTGACTGACCTTCGGTATTTTTCTTGTGGAGGTTGTATGTTGCATTTAATCAATTCAAACGAAAAAAGATCCCGAGGTTGGCTCTGCATTTTATAAAAAGAATTGGGGTTGGCACATGCATTTTAGCGGCTAGGATGCAGAGCCAACCCCGAGATACAGTACAGACGGGTATGTTTGGGGCTTGTTTTTGGATGGATTTAAGTAAAGAATTTTGATGGTTGGGGCTTGGGATCGAATCAGGAATTGTGAGGAATTTGAGCAACCAAAGATTTGCAGAGTTTCACTACTAGGACTGAGCCAGGAAGCTGAGAGGAGAAATCAGTTGCCCATATTGCGAATTTTGAGTCGGATTTGTTCAACGGGATTTTTTGGGGCTCGAACTTGACATAAATCATGGTACCGAAACAGTGGGGGGGTCGTGTTTAAGCCGGGGAAACTCGACATAATTCAGACTACCGATATTAAGCCAGGTGCAACATCACAGTCCTGAGATCCCCATAAATCCACCCTAAACCAACCCTTTCCCACCCTAAACCGCGCCAATGCCAAGCCAAAACCAAACCTAAACAAGCCCTGTTGCTACAAACCAATGGGAAGAAATGTTCATCCTCGCACGTGCAAGGACAATGGAAGGCCGGGCGAGCTCGTAGATCCAGCCTGTCGGTCGGGCCCAAGCAAACTCGAGGAGTTCAGCTTAAGCTCAGGGTTTGGAAGCCTTCTAGGCTTCAGGCCATGGCTGCCTGGCTGCCAATGCATGCTTGTTGTTTTGGTGCCAATCTTTTTGATGGCGGTGACCAGAAACTGGTGTTCGAGTCACATGTTTTGACGAAGCTGACTGTGGCATTTGCCCAGGTCTGAGAGGGTCGCCAACTTGATGGAGGCCTCCTGCTGGGCACCCAGCGATGGAGCGCAAGAATCCAAGGTGAACTGCGCATGACTGCGCTGAGTGGATACTTGCATTGTTTTTGTGGGGGTATCCCTCTCACAGTATCACAGTAGCAGTCACCCAAGTGGTTTTGGGAAAAAGAGTCAGGGGGAATAATCCAAGCTGTTGCATACCTTGTGCTGACTTTTTTCACTTCCAGCCGAAGTCAGGCGAAGATGACGAGGAGCTGGATCATATGGGGGTAGCACGGGCTTGTCCGTGGCCAGATTAGAAAGACTTGCTCAGCTGCTTCCTGAAAAGTCTGTTGTCTATTGGCTCCAATCCCAAAGTTAACTCTCTCTCTCTCTCTCTCTCTCTCTAGCCCAGGGGCTGCTGAGTTCGGTTTGCTTGCTTGCTTGCTTGCTTGCTGGCTGGCTGGCTGGCTGGCTGGCTGGCTTGCTGGCTTGCTGGCTTGCTGGCTTGCTGGCTTGCTGGCTTGCTGGCTTGCTGGCTTGCTGGCTTGCTGGCTGGCTGGCTGGCTGGCTGGCTTGCAGGCTGGCTGGCTGGCTTGCAGGCTGGCTTGCAGGCTCTTGCAGGCTGGCTTGCAGGCTCTTGCAGGCTGGCTTGCTGGCTTGCTGGCTTGTTTGCTGGCTTGCTGGCTTGCTGGCTTGTTTGCTGCGATAGTCAGCTTCAACGTTGTGCAATCAAGCACGATTATGACCATCACCATATTACCATGTTCCATTTTCAAAAAAGGGCAAAGCCGGTCATCGACATAGAGGATCCCACATTTAAAAAATCAAGACGGCAAAGGCAGGGCCTCCGCGATTTTGGTGCAATCGTTCACGCTGTTCCAGGACATCTTCAATGGCTTGTGCTACGCAAAGTGCAGTGACTTTGGCGTCCAATTGGCCCTAGACGCTCTTTGGTGAGGTGTTGTTGAACATACTATCCAGCAAGATGCTTAGCTTTTGCAGCAGAAAGACCAGCCGCACATCGCAAGTCCGAGTCAAGGCCATTGCAGAGTCCACCACAACCCAGGGGCAAAGAGGTCCCGCCAAGCCAACGTCATAACATGTTTCCGGGATTGGCATTGCCACCCAATGCAGTATTGATGTTGATTGAGTTTCAGCTTCCCCAGGGTAAGGTCAAAAGGAAGTGGTCAGCTCGGTGTGAATTCAGTTAGGGCATGTTAGGGCTAGCAAGTAGAACATGGTCAATGTAAGCAGATCCTCGCCTTCAAGGTGGCTGTTCTCCTGAATGCTGAGGGGTACCCTTGGGTACTGCAATCTGAACACTCTACATACAAATTTGATATGATATCCTGAAGTTTATGACTTGGAGCCATCAGGGCGGTGAATTACATGTCAAAGCATAGTTCGGGTAGTCAACGAGCTTTGGATTCGTGCTGCCTCAGTGCATTGGGTTCGATCCCTCACTAAGGTGTCTTGACCTATGGCCAAGCGAAAATCCGCACTGGGCCAGATAGTTGCCACCTGGCTTCATTGTGCATGGAGCGTCTGTGCGCTCCCGATCTAAAGCTTGGTGGACCTTCTGCAGCGGGCTCCACATCAGCCCTTTCAGGCCCAATCTGAGATGGCATGGCCCCTCCATCGGGGGATGCTAACGGTGATGGTTCTATGACAGTGTCGAGATGAACAAAGCAGTCCCTTGGGTTGAGTTAGTTCGATTCGCCCGCGATGCCATCGGCCGGTTTGTATAGTTCCAAGGTTGCACCTGCGAGAAAGGCAGGGATGGGCGAAGTAGGTAAATCAGGGCTGAACCCTACACATTGCATGCGGGACCTACAGTTTTCTGTGTTCGATGCATTTCGTTGTTGGAAGTCGAAGCTACAGTTGGGGAGGGCTTGCAACTTCAACCATGCGTGCTGTGATCCTTGCAGTTCTGGCGTGTTTTGTTTCATTTGGTCTCAAGCAAAAGCAGAACAAGGATCGATGATTTGGGCTCGAGAGGAATCAGGAGCTGGCTTGTTTGGTCCCTTGGGTCAGAAAACAAGCGCATATTTTTTGGCAACATCAAATGGGTTCCCACTTTGGGATCAGGACATTGCCCTGACGGAAACCTAGGACCTTGCCCCCCTTCAAAGAGGTTTGGGCAGTTGATGTGCATTTGAGGGAACTTCTGGGACGTCAACCCTCAGCCTGTTTTCAAATTTGAAGACTACAAATCAAACCAAGTAAGTAATTGAGCCCGCCTTGTTCGTGAATCCTCGCTGAGAGTATCTTGCAATGTCTGGTGTTCTGCAGACCGGAGGAACACATCATTCGTTGATGGTACGTTCGAAGGCCAGCATGTGCATGAAGGACTCAAGACCTTGGTGCGCCCCAGCCAAAGCGTCGCCATTGGCAACATCTATCAGCGCAAGCAGCAGTCTTTAGCCACCCCGCCAGAAGCGCTGTTAATTTGGTATTTGGGGTATGTCTCCGGTATGACCATTTGGCAGGGCCGCTGTCCTGGGCGTGCTGCGCTTTGCCGTGGAATGCGCTGTCGGATGCCGGCTTTGCAGCCGGGGCCGCCGGAGTATGGGAGGATGTGGGATGTGAAAGGCACCAGGTATATTTGCGCTTGTGCAGCAGTCGGACCTGACATTTTGTTTCCTATACTCGAGGCCATCTTGTAGTCATGGCTCCAACACTCGAGCTACGCCTTCGATCCGAGCGAGGTTGCCTTGGACGATTCTGGCCGTGAGCCCAGGGCCTGTTACAGACTTGACGGCCAGTGAATCGGTCGCAAGCATTACAAAGGATCGCGCGGGAGCAAAGTCAGCCGCACCTTACGAGGCCCTTTCTAGGGGAGGTCTAAATGATTCTAAAGGGCCCTGGTTTGAATACTGCCACGAGAATGGCAAAGACGTCATTTATTCTCTTCTGGAGAATGATACACAGAGACGTGCCATGCTTAGACAAAGACAGGCAGACAAAATGGGTGTACATGATCCGAGAGAGCACAAACACGGGCACTTGCACTCTTGCCAACGTCAGGCAAGTGGCAACTGAGGCCTGGATGGCAGCCCGCACCCGCCTGGCATGAGCGTACGCTGCTCTCAGGGTGAGGCGCATGGACACCACTGCAGAAGAAGCCAAGACCAGTTTGTGGCAAAGAAAAATGAAAGTAGTTTGCCTTACTTTTCTGAAAGGAGATTCCAATCAAAGGATCAAGTGGGAGTGGTTGGCAGCAACTGGTCTGGGAACGCACTGGGATTTCCCCGAGAGAGAGAAAAAGTCCTTTGATCATAATCAATTTGTCAATCACAACATGTTTTGCCCTGAGTATTGACTAGAATCATAGAAAGTGTGGCTGAGCGGGCCAACACCACAGGGGATGGTCAAAGGAAGCTTGGAAGGAACTGCTGTAGTGGAAGAACAGCCTTGCAGTGTGTGCGGAAATCACGCGATTTGCACGTGGCAAGGATGCGATACATGGGGCAAGCGAGAGATTTGGGCAATAGGAACAGGCGTGCGTTCAAGCTTGAGATTTGGGCCTTCGACAAGTGTCCCGCCTGACCGAAGCATGTTTGGATCGTATTTGGGTGCTGGGCCGATCAGCTCGGCTGGGCGCCTGCTCGGACTTTTGCTAAAGAAAACACGTGGGAGTTTTATGAACCCCCTCCAACAAAGTTTAGTCAGGGCTGGACTTCAACACTGCAAAACGACAACGAGGAAAAGACAACAACGTTTCGTAGAACTGGAGTTGCCAATTTGGAGCTGGAGCTGCGGAAGAGTGCAGCGCATGAGGTGTACTTCATGTACTACACGTGTACTGAAACGTGTGCGGTTTTGGTGCTGGAGCTGCAGAGGTAGGTGCACCCTGCGTATTTACCTACCAGGCTTGCCCTGAAAAGTTGCGGTGTTGAAGTGTGTTTTGCGGGCCAAGGAGTTTGCTTTAAGGGACCAAATAGCGATTCAGCTATCAAGCTGACTTGCTAACTAAGTGGCCAGCTAGCCTGCTTTCTAACTAATTTTGCTTATATGTTATGACGTTTGTATGATCACTATCGCTATCCAAGTTGAACTTATTTGGATAGCAGTCTAGCCGACAAATCATGTGGTATCATCTGGCTAAGGAGGCCAAAGAGTTAGCAACTCTAGCTAACGAGCTAGCTAATTAGCCAGATAGCCAACTAGTTGGAACTACCTAGCCCGCTGGCTAGCAGGGCAGCTCACTAGCTAGCAAATGATTTGGTCAATCAAGCAACTCATTGAAGAGCGTCAACTAAGTGGCGCTCGCGAACTAGTTGACTAGGTAACCAGGCAGTAAGTGAGTAACTTTCTGGCCAGATAATAGCCACATAACTACCCAGCTAGCTAGCCCGCAATTGAAATGGATAACTAAATCTGAAAAAACACACTTGCTAGCTAGGTGATGAACTGACTGGCTAACTGGCTAGCTGATCAGCGTACAAGCTAACAAGCTAGCTGACCTAGCTCACTAGCTATCTAACTAGTAGACTGGCCAAGATGACCAAGTAACTGCCAAACTAGCTGCGTAACTAAGTAATAAGCAGCCATATTGTCTGATTTAGCTAGTTGGTTTACAAATGAACTGCTGGCCATCTACTGGGCTAGCTGTTTAGGGAAGAGAGGATTATTGTCAACAACGGGAGTGTGTTGACTTGGGTATGTATTCAATTGCATGATTTGCTGTGGACCGCTCCCTACCGATGTCGGGAATGTGGTCGTTTGTTGCGCTTGGCTGTACGACCTGACTGGTCACCTCGCCGAGGGAAAGGCCGACAAAAGTCTGGAGATACCAACGACATAAAGCATCGACCAACTTTTTGTGAAGGGTGTCATGGGTCATTTGTAGAGCGTAATCAGAGAGCACCACTGTCATAACCAGAGTAGTTGATGTTGTTGCTATTGCAAGTTATACGCACCACCAAATGTCTCAAAATGTGAAGTCCAGGGTGCAATGCAGTTGCAGCAGCTTTTTTGCTGGCTGCGATACGCACAAGGGCAATTTCATGCGCTAACTGTTTTGAAGATGGACTGGAGATCTCCAAGGTGAGGAATTCTGTGGTTATGACTTGCACTGGATGCGAGGTGTCCAGGGCACAGCCGCAAAGCTTCTGAAGTTTGCCAGGAGCTATTTGCAGGCATTTGCTACAAGAGCTGCGCAGACGTCACCGAGGGCAAGATGCAGGGAAACTTAAGGGCGTATTGGGAGCCGGCCGGGCGTGTTGCCAAGCATTTTATTTTTGGCTGCAGTGAGGATCCTGAAACTTGATTGCAATTTTCCAGATATGCAGAATCTCGGAAAATGTGAATCACGTTGCTTCAGGCGAAGCCTTTGGCCCCACGTGTCTCAAGGCTGCCCACGCCAGCTTTATGTTTACGCAGCCTACATCCTACCTGGGTTTTGGAATTGACCTACACCTCGTATATTGAAGTTGCTGTGCGATCCGCCGATGCCGCGACTGTCAATGGTGCGCTGAGTGGGACCTAGCCTGCATAGTATCCAATGCAAAGACCGCTAAGAGGGGTCCAGTTTCGCGCCTATCATTGTATAGTTTCGGACGTGAAAAGTCAGTATGCACATGAGATTTTATCCCAAACACATGTCCCATAAAGGCTCCATGTAAACCCTCAAGTGCCACAAAGTAGGACAAACCTATTGCGTCAAAAACTGCTCCCTCCCACATGCTGAGAATGCGGTGGTAGACCAGGCCAGACCAAATGCCCAAGCCCAAAATGTAAGTACTGGGATGGCGGGGGTGCGGGGAATGCTGGGAATGCTGGGAGTGCTGGGAATGCTGGGAATGCTGAGGATGCAGCGTGCAAAAAGCAGTGCTTCTCAATTTTTTCCCAAAATCAAACATCAAAAAAGGATGACAGCAAGATAGACTTCTAAAAGCACAAAAAAACCTGGGGATGTTTCGCAGCGACGCCCCTATATCAAAGGGGATTTTGCAAAAACACACATGTTTTGTTCCAAGTTCAGCAGTTCCTTAGATGGTCAATCCACTTACCCCCGCCAAGACCCCAAGCATGCCAAATCCAACATCGCTCAAAACAGAAAAACACAAGACAGCCCTGATAATCCTGACAATGCAGATTCTGACCACCGTAGGCAAACCCCCCCCACCCAACAACCTAGACAAAACGCACTTGGGCGACCAACAACACTGAACAGTTACACGGTTTTAGACACCCGGCAAGTTTTTTTCCCAAAATTGACCTCCCCGATCAGCTCGAAGGAAGAGCAAGTTTCGGATTGCCATCTACACGCTCGACTGGCGTCGGCGGATTTGCTACGGGAAGCCTTGAAATCAATCTGAAGCAAGGCTAAACTGCACCCATGATCGTTCCTTGAGAAATGCGGTCTAGAGGTGTGTAAATCAAGGGTCATGGCCCCCGGAGAACAGACGAAGTCGGCCTTGCATTGAAGCCGAATGAAAGAAGCCTCCAGCTCAATCTGGATTCTCCACTTTCCCCCTTCATGTTGTTGCCCTGTTTACTCCTCGTTGATCCACAGATCCAAAGTTGTTGTTATTGCAGGTGGCGGCTCCTTACTTTTGAGCCACAGCTTGTAGACTCATCCCTCTTGATGATCAAAGCCTGCGGCGAAGAAGTCTGCTATGAGGCCACACCGCGTCAATGCGTCGGATGCCCAGAGCAGTGGGCATCCGAGAGAGCTGTCTCGGAAGCAGAAGCACCTGGAGAGTCCCAGTCAAAAAATGGCAGACTATCAGTCCACGGGCAAGTAGTTGAAGGAGAGGACGCGAATGTCTCACCCGCCGAGATACCGTGCACCGCAGTGGGGCCCATTTGTTCACTTTCCATGTCAGCAGGAGCCATGCGGACTTTTGACAGCAGCTTCAAAGGAACCTTGACCTGCAACGAACCGCTTGGCCGAATGCCTGCACGTACCGTAAATACCGCATGCCTCATGAAGTAGCCGGTTTCCTCAACTCACCTCGTGTCACCCTGTCGCAGGGATTCCTGCTGCAAGTTCGCGGACATGTCGCCGCTTGGCCTCACACCAGGTGTGCCATGGTCAGTGGAAAGCAAGGAATTGTTTGTTCCCTCGATAAAGCTTCACACTTTGGACAATAATTAGAAGGAAGTAGTCCGAATTGCCAGGGACCAGGACACAGATATGCACACATCAATCTTTGCAGATTTGAGCAGACAGAGAAAAGATGGGAATCATATGTGTGAAAGATTCTGGACCCGCAATTGGCGATCCAAAGAAAACTCAGAAATGGACAGAACAAGCAGTAGTTTATGGGTCCAAGCATGAGCACGCAGCCAAATTATACCAAATTCACTACCCTTGGTTTGATTGGGGAAAGGGCTTGTTCTTTTCCCCTTGTGAAGAGTTGTTTTGGTGTCACAGTTGACTGTCTTTCGTTGCACTGGCCATGGATCCGTGCTGGCCAGAACTTTGTTTCCTGCATTTTTGTGTTCAACCTGGCGTGGACGCTGAGTGCTGCAAGCGCTTCCCACAAGCCAAGGCAATGTATGGCCTCACCGGACAACATGGTGACATCTGTGAATCTGGACAGAAGCATCAGCAAAAGCAACGCTGCCTGGCTCTGCGGATTGTTGACTATCAAGGGGATGCCATTTTGACAATCTGGTGTGGTATGTGCGGGATGACTTTGCAAAGGACGACTTTTCACCCACTTGCTGCATACTGTTTACCTGTCCTCAGTTGGTCTTTCACCAAGAACAATACCCTCTGGCTTAACGGTACGATTGAGGGGGAGGGGGACATCCGTAAAAAAAGGCGGCAAAATCATAGTGCTTTTGCTGCCATTCTTGAATCCAGCAGCCAGGAACAAGACCAGCTCAGAAATGTCCAGTGCATTCAAGCTACCTGCCGCCGTCGGTCGGACAGACAAAACCCTGGAGTTCCAGGGTTTCGAACCTCGAAACTCCAAACTTTCGAGGTTTTTGGAGACCGTGTCCAGAACAGGCCGGACAAAGACCAAAACAAACCTCCTTGCTTTCCCAAGCAATGGTGAGGGTGATTCTTCCGGCGCATTGCAGCGCTTCAACGTGAGCCAGTCCAAAGTGAGCTTGAGCATGGGATGGTGCCAGCAACATGAAGATAGTTGATGTTAGTTTGTAGTAACAGGGATCAACAGCGATCAACCATTGTCTCCGCACAGAACCCCGACAGCAATGAGACTCAGCACATGCCAGCCCGAGTGAAAGACAACGCCATACCAGTGCCCAAGCAACGATCATTGCAACGTTCAATCCGGACCAAGAGAAATGAGACAATTTGCTCTCGACAACGCAATCTTCACTGCAGGCGCGCTCTCATTACGCAACTATAACCGCCGCCGAATGACAGTTTTGAGTGAACAGAGGCACTGCGCGATGAATATTTTTAACGTTTCACAGAAATTGCCTCTCAAGTCAGTTTTGTTTGGGAACGAGATAGGACTGAGTTCAGTTTGAAACTCGCACTTGGCCGTGAGAAGATGAAGGCAGCAAGCAGACCAAGCCCTGTCCACCGGCCATCAGCCGGCAACCAGCCGCACAGGTTGGAATTTGCCTAAATGTTCCGAGGTTGTTGCAGAAACGGGTACCTGTTTGATGGCCCACTGGGCAACGAGCTCTTAGCGGTTGAATGGAGCCGGCTATCAAGTTCATCCCATTTCCTCCCGTTCCCCGTGAAAACATAGATCATAGGAGCAAAGACCAGATCCTCAGCCTTTGCTTTCCATGCAACATACTGCGTAAAACCGCTAGCTCCGCAAACCTCGATGGGCTACAAGTGAGGATCACATTTACAGACCACTTTGACACAGGCAGACCTCCCCCTCCGGCCTCTGAAATCGGTACTCTTGCCGTTCAGCTTTTGAGGTCATGATAACTCTTGTGGAAGAGCTCCTCCACGTTGCACAAATTGATGCCGAGATTTGTTTGCCAAGAGTTGCGTGATCTTGATGAAGCGGACTGAGATGCGTGGGAGGCTATATTTGAGCCGAGGATCTGGCCTTGTCGTTCAGCCTTTGGATTTGAATTTGCCTGTCAGTGGCCGTCCCTTCAACTGAGGCTCTGCCTCACTCGCCTTACATGCTACCTGCAGACAGGAGGCGTCTGGGAACATAGGCGTGCTGCGCGGAAGTGTTGCTGCCTTGGCCAGGCAAAGACGTTCACCGTTACCTTGTAATCAGGAATGCCAACATGGATGTGTCGCATGAGATTGATTGATGAAGACAACTGAAACACTCTCGAACAAGTGACTAGTTGGGCCCGCAGGGTGCCAGAGAGAGGAGCCCAAACACGACCCCATCTCCTGGGCCTTCTTTGACACGATTTTGCCACGAACGTGCCTGGCTTTGCCGCCGCGCAGCTTCCGTCGCAGCCAACAAGCACTTGCACGCTTTCTCTCTTGCTTTCTCCCCCTCTCTCTCCCTGCCTCTCCCTGCCTCTTTATGTGTTTGTATGCCATTGAATGTATTTGGAGGCATCCAGCATGCTTTACATGCCTGAACTAGCACTTAGAATATGGCGATCAAACAAGACAACATTGTCACCTCCATTTATGGCCGAGATGAAATACGGTGTCTCGTTCCATTCAATTTTAACCTGTGTCTCTTTGCAGTTAGCCCATTTCATTGACCCCAAGCAACGGTCTCCGAGTGTCCGATTTGCGGGCCTCATTGATTCATGCAGCATTCATGCATCTCACAGATCTTGAAGAAACTGCCCACACTTGGGATCATAGATGCACGATGAGGCGCATAAGCGGCTGCACCCCGCTTGGATGTTTGAACAGTGCAAAACACAACAATATGGAGGCACTATGATTGAGATACAGCCACATGTTTCGCTGATGCAGAAGCTGACCCATATTAGACTTTGTGTTATGCGAAGCTGACCTAGCTCATCTAGCTCATCTAGCTCACGTGGCTTACCTTTTTGGCTACCCTGCGCAGGTCGAAATGACACAGCGAGAGACACATGGCTTCCAATGTCTCACCCGATGCTTTGAGTATTGTGGCCAATGATGCTACTGAGCGCCTACTTAAAAGAGTGGGCCAGGACAGATGGATTCACCTCAACATTACAGGTAATTACTTGTTGATTTTCATTCAAATCGCTTTACTTCACACGAAGAATATCATCTCTCTGTGAGAGCACAACCAAAGCCACAACGGGATCATGCGAGTCGCAGTGGCGAGCGGCTCGTCTTGCTTGTCATTGTACTGAAGCAGGTGTACTCGCCTTTCCGCCAGAGGAGAACGCCGCAAATTTCGCCTTCAACAGGCCGCATTTACGTGCGGAGTGTGACAAGGCCTGCTTCCTTTGTGAGCGCTGTCATCCCACAATACTTCTTGAACTGCGCTTTCAGGAAGATCTCAGGAGAAAAGCATTGAATGGCATGTGTTTTGCCAGATGCCAGCACTGTTGCTTTGCTTTGTAGAGGATGGTTGTTCAAGCACCAGCATGCGGGTATCTCGGCTCCAGCTGAGCGGCTTCGTGACAGAGCCAGGCGCTGAGGGAGAGATCTTCAGGATTTTCAGGGTATGGCAGAAGTGAGAAGTGCTAAACACAGTTGTATGCCAAAGCCGCCCTTTGGGCTTCCAGTGTTTGCAGGAGGGCAAGTAGATCAAGTATCCCTTATTTGGTTGTGTGGACTGGCAGTTTCGGGGTTTCGAAGATTAGATGTCGAGATCTCAGCCCATTTTGATCTTCCGGGAGTGTATGCCCTTCGAGGTAAGCTTAAGCATCGCCGGTTCGGTGATGTTACAGTGAATTTTAATACATATGGAAGATTGTTTGTCGGTGCTCACCTTTGCCAGCTTTAGGTTGTTCTGACGAATATTTGGGACTACTTAGGTTCAGGTTTGCGAGAATGGTAGCAAAACAGGCGTCCTCAAAAGCAGACAGTCTAGCCAAATTGAACTCTTCTCAGACAATTCTGGCAAAAGGGCCCAAATATGGGACTTGACACGCAATTTGTTGACTTTCAGTGCTGAATGCCAATGCAGTGTTTCAACGCCCCGCAGAATCTAAAGCAGCCCAAACTTCCCTGGCAACAGGGCAAATAGGGGGCACGAGGGAAAGTGACCCATGTAGGCAGGGCTGTTACATCCACACAAGCTTGTCCCCCTGCTTCCGCTCACAGTCACTTTCTGGTGATAGGGATACCCGATGCTTTCGCTTGTCGCCTGGGTGCAGGATGCACGAGGCTGCTCAAGCAGGTGCACTCGCAGATGTGCCACAGCCCCGCGCGAGGCAGTTCTGCGTTGTGTGTGGCTAGAGCATGCCAAGAGCTGGTTGTGCTCAAATATGTCGATTCCATCCATATTCATTTGCAAGGCCAGTTGTTTTGTAGATTGCTGTGTTTGCTTTTCGTTGCTTGGGCGCTACTAATGCTGCTTTTGCCACCGCCGCTTTTGCCGCCTCCGCTGCTGCTACTGCCACCGCCATTGCTTGTACCGTTTCCACTGCTGCTGCTGCCATCGTCGTTGTTGCTTGTTTCGCTGCTGCTATTGCTCAACTGATGTTGGTTGATTCATGGGTGGGGGACTGAACAGTAGTTTGAATCAGAGTACCCATCCAAGTACAGAACTCTTGTTTTGGGAGCCTTGTTGGGTTGCTTCGTTTTCCGGGGAACATGATCACACATTCTACAGGCCCAATGGCCTCTCTGATTGCAGTCCCTGGCATCGTTTCGCGTAGCCTTGGGAGGACGCCCTCGCCGCTGCGGGCAGTGGGACACAGCAAAGCTCCAGCGCCTGCACGAGACTTTGATGTGACTCCTGACTCTTGGCGTTGACAGGACCTGGAAGCCAAGCTTTGCTTTTAGAGAGTTTATTGGCAGATCCTCGAGTGCACCGGGCCGCTTCCCCCATGCGCTTTGCCGAGGACACAACCGATGTGATTTATGCCGAGGATGAGGAGGTGTTCCGTGAGACGGCGGTTCGTGAGCTGCTGAAAGTGGGTTTTCTGAGGCGGGTTTCAGCACTTTCGGCTGCACGTGTGGAGAATGCCGAAAGAACAGGCCCCACAAAAGACGGTCAACCCAGCAGTGCGCACCAAACATACGAAGGAATCCAACAGAAATCCGTCTGGTGAGTCGCGCTTTGTGCATTTCCTACCAATCTATTGTAAAATTCAAACAGCGGCAAAAACATATCACGAAAGAAAGGTATGCTACGAACGCATTGCAAACAGAATTGACCTTGTCGAGGTTTTGGTGCTGCATGTAGCAGATTGTGAAAGAAGATGTCATGTGGATTTTGTTTTCCCGAATTCCCCTCCATTTCTGTGCGGAAATATGACACGCCGCTTTCCTTTCCAGCAAGACCTTCCGACTCCGCAAGAATTTTCAACCCCCGCCCGACTTCGCAACGAGCCCATGATCTTGACAAAAGCTGCTGGTTATGCAATATGCAGATCTCACCGACACTGCTGCCGGCAAAAGAAGCTTGGTGAGCGTGTGCAACCAGACGAGTCTCCCAAGCTGAACGTTTGCTTTTCTCAAATGGCGAAGCCGTTCCGCGGACACTTAGCAAAAGCAAGGTAAAGCAAGCCTCCTGCCAGCAAGGGGTAAACGTCTGCCTTCCAAACACAAAGCGAAGCCTCTCAGTTGTTTGGGCTAGATGAGAGGCTTTGCAGAGTGCTACAAAGGAAGCCCCAGGAAGCACGTGTTTGCAAAAGTGAATTCTGTGGTGACGAAAACATCACGAGAGAGGCTTCATGGAAGTGTGTTGCAAGGGCCCGTACCTGCCATGTTTGGAGCCTCGCAAGAACACATTGTGTAAAGGTAGAGGTCAGCAGGTTTTTGCTCGGTGCGCATAGACCACTTAGGATTCGACTCGCTGATGCTGACTTAGATCATTGTGATGCCTGAAGTCAAGATGTGTCAGAACATTACAAGAAGTCTTCGCGAAGCTTTCATGTGGTATGGTGCGGGCTTTGTCACGGGTCACGGCAATTACTTGCTCATATTTTCACATGAGCCGGTGTTGGGCTTGGGAGTGCAGAAGCATGATGACAGTGATGCTGGACACGTGCTCGGAGCCAGGCAGAATATCCACGAGGCTCGCAGGGGTGAGGGGCGGAGATTCGTACTGTTGGACCTTGCTTGCTGTGGCCCCGCCGTCCACTCTTCCAGAAACGTCAAAGAAGGCCTCGGGGGGCCTTGTTGCCAGGACTTACTTTAGATTCCCGGTAGTTATTTTTCTATTGCCTAGTCTAAATTTAGTATTGCCAAGACGTACTCTCAGATTCCCAGTAGTTTCTTTCGTGTTGCCTCGTCTAAATTTTGTTTGGTCAGAGTTGACCCACCCCAAAGAAGCTTGACACAAAAGATGGCCCCCAAACAGTCATACACGGGAGCCAGTGATCCTGTTTAATATGACTCATATTAAACAGGATCACTGGCTCCCGTGGGCCCCCCCTCTGTGTGACCGTTTGGGCTTGTTGGGTTTTTTGTTTATTAAAGAAGTTAGCTTAAATTTGATGGTTTGGGGACCACTTGCAGAATGTGCACCACCCTTTAGAAGTGAAAGGCTAAAACTTTAATTCTGGAGTTTCAGTAACTCCATCAAACAGTTGCCCATTAAAGCGACCCCCAAAACAGTCACATGAAACAGACTCTTGTGGGCAACCCCCTTTGTTTGCACCTGTCTTTTTGCAATGAAGTTATCTTAAATTTGATGGTTTGGCGACCACGTCAAACAAGGAATTCCTAATGCTTGCCCGGATTTGTTTGCAGTTGTTCTTATTGGACGACTTTTTTGGCCCGGGATTTTGCCCGGATGTTGTTTTAGGCAAACCAACTTCACAAATCATGGTACCAAAGCAGTGGGGTGGGGGAGGGGGGTTGGAAGGGTCGTGTTTAAGGCGAGGATTCTTGACATATTTCAGGCTACCGATATTATACCAGGTGCGACATTACTGCACGCGGAATATGACTTTTGCATGGCTTGTGCATACATTGTGATCGATCTTCTCACGGCAGCCTTTTGCATTTGGAGTGCCCTACATGCCGATTGCGAGAACAAACTGTTCGCTCCTTGGAAGCCTTGTTTTGACGATTCGACCGACTCTGCTCAGGCTGACACAGGACTTGGTGCGCTGGAACACCTTGCCCAGATGCAGAATGAAGTCACCTGGCTGATCCTGGCTGCACAAAGGCAAGCCACACTTGCAACACACAAGTGATAATTGCCCAGAAACCAAGGTTTTGTTCATCATGAGACTACCTTTGAGGTACCATGGCCATGCTGTTGAAAAAACAAGAAGATATCAGGCATCCTGGTTCGCTGCTTGCAATTCGCAATTCGGCATCAAATATCCATTGAAATGAAAGAAACACCCTACATGCCCCAGGTTGCTTAGTTATGTATGATATGTGGTTCAACTGTTCGCAGTTTTGGCAAATGCAAAGTGCGCAGAATGTGTTTATATAGTTTGTGCTTGTGTGTGTGTGCGGTGTGTTTGTACAACCTTTCATCTTGTGCGACAGATCGTCCGTGTGAACCTTGTTTGAGGACGCAACAGCGGCCAGGGCAAAATCGAAGTGCAAGAGAGCAAAGGAGCAAACCGTTCTGCTGAGTCTGATTGAGCCTTCCAATGTGTTGTCCTATCGCAATACAAGGGTAGCGTGTGGCATTTGCAGGCATGTGTGTATGCATGAGTGCAAGCGTGCATACGCGAGTTGGCAGTCTGTGGGCAAGCAGGTTGGCGGCTGCATATGTGCGTGCATGCCTGCGTGCGGGCGTATGTGCGCGTGCGATTATTTTCTCTGTTGTTTTTTCCAAGCAGAACACCCCACAGTTTCCTATGATTCGAGGTGCAAAGTGGGTGACTGATGAATGAAGGCCCCCTCCAAAACCCAACACACAAGATAATATTAGGAGAGCCAATAGGGAAAACTGCTACAGCGATTTGGGGGTCAGATTTGCCGCCCTGGAGTACTCTATTGGCCTAGTGTTGGCTTGGTATTGGCTTGTGATTGGTTTGGGTTTGGTTTAGGATTGTCAAGATCTGCACAGAGATCTTGTGCAGGGATTTCGCAAAGATCGTTTTAAGAAATCTTGCACAGACATCGTGCCACAGGGCTTGGCACAAACATCTCAGGAGCCTCCTTGTAGTAGATCCTCTCTAAGAGCTGCGCACGATCCTCCAGCAATAGATGTTGTGTAAGACCTACCAGGACTTTATATGGAAGCAGACTTGCACAGGATCGTCTGCCGGGACCCTTTCAGGAGACCTTGCGCAGGAAAAATGATGCTGATCCTGCAAGGAGATCTTGCACAGGACCTTTTGATTAGCTTCCAAGAATATGCCCGCCACAAGATCTTGCGCAGCCTTCAACAGAGATTCTGTTGAAGAGTTCCTGCGCAGCGCCTGTGCAGAGGTCAGAGTTCTTGCACCAGACCCTTTGTGTAGATCTTTTGAAGAAGGCCTTCTTTGGTGGACAGGGCGCCGCAGGCAGAAGTCTATCCATATCACATTATTTTTGCTTCATACACACAGTTCTGCACTTGCTCTTTGCGCCACTCCTCTCTTGCGCTCTTCCTTGCGTGTGCACGCTTTGCATAGGTTGTCCTTTTGTCCTCTTGACACTGTTTGGCTTCGCTTGCCGGGAGAATATTGATTTGTATTGGCCCAAGGGCCTTCGCTGTTCAGTGTTGGTTTAGCATTGCCAAGTCTTGGCTGCTTAGTATTGCTCTGTGTTGTACCCTAGTATTGGTTTAGAAAGTTTTGGCGAAGTATTGCTTACGTAGTGCTGTCTTAGAACTGGCATGTTATTTGCTTAGTGTTGGGTTTGTGTTGCTTCGTGCTGCCTTAGTGCGTGTATAGTATTGGGTTTAGTGTTTGTTCAGTATTGTTTGCCTTCGTACGGGTTTAGTATTTCTTTATTATTGCTTAGTGCCACTAGTGACTGCCTTAGTATCGGTTCAGTGTTGGCTTGGTGAGTTGTTGTGTATTGCTTTGCGTTGCTTTAGCATCGCTCCTCTTTACTCCTCTTCGGTTTCCCTCAGTTCTTTCTGTTTAGTGTTGATTTGGTGTTGGCTTAGGATTGCTTAGTGCTGCCCTAGTGTTGTTGGTTACTCTTCCAAGAGCTTGGCTGCTTTCCCTCCTAGGAGCAGTTGTTTTTCAAGAAGGCTTAGATTTTGTAGCTCGGGGGCGCAGACTTTTTTCTGGTTTTGACTCATGCGTGTGTGGTTAGCCACCAACCTTTATCTTATGACACCCTCTATGTTCTGTGGCAAACATGACATCCTGCAAGCAATAGCGCACAACTGTGTAAAACATGTGCGGCGTATGCGCATTCCGATGTGTTTGTCTTGAAATGGCCACCCTCAGGGCCACATCACAAAGCCGCTTCTGGTGCTGCTGGACGTGCGCATGCCCGGCATGGACGGGCGGGAGTGCGCGCTACAGATCCAGGAGCTCGTTAAGCAGCGCCCTGGCATCCTGAGACGTGTGACAAAGCCCGGCAATTGGATGCCAACTTTGAACGCAAGCGCCCTGAAAGAGGCCTGAACGGGTTGGATCAGCTTTTCCTAGGGTTAAAGAATTAAAAACCCACATGGGGTGTGGGGTAATAGCGCCAGATCCTCATCCACGATCGCAACAGCGGATGCCAACACCAGGCAAGCCGTCTTTGGGAATTTAGCGGTTTATGCAACAATTTAGGGAGTAGAATTCGAAAAAATGCATTGACCTGACAGAAAGTGCGCGGAGGGCTGGCAGCGGGCTTACTTCGGCCGCAGCCATTGACTTGGGGGCTTGTGTCCTCCAATTGATTGTAACGGACTCAGCCACTGTTGGGTGGCGCTTCTTGGAGCGGCAGTTTCCCCAAACAGTGTGAGGTAAGGCGTGCTAATGGTCGTGCCGCGGGGCGTGTCGCTCATTTCGACCCTGCGCGGGCTCGCGAAAGTTTCTTCAATGTTGGCATCAACTGTGTAGAGTTGCGCGAAACGGTCCAAACGATGTTCTCGCCTGCATGTCTACTTTCGGTGTCAAGTGCATGTCACGTGGCAGGCACACTAGATTCTGCAGATTTGGAGGCCGAAGGCCTCGTTCTTGATGGCAGTGTTTCGTGGACGTCTGTGGTGCTGTTGCAGAGGGTCTAAAAACATGCGCTTTATGGACGATGTTTCGCACCTTGAAAGCCCTTTCGTGCGGCAGGCGCAGGACTTCAGATGCCGGCTGGCTCCTCGTCTACGTAGCACATTGCGCTTCTAGCGTTTTTCGTTGCGCGCGCGTGGTCTCAGTCTGTGCGGCGCAGCGCTGATGCTGATGTCCCTTACGGCGTTTGACGCGTGGCGGGTTGGTCTCGTTGCGGCATGGTGCTGAATCTGATAGCGCTTGCGTCGCCCGCGTGTACTTTGCACGGACATCTTAAGGATATCACGTGTTGGTTCTTCATAGAGGTCTTATCAAGAGGTCTCGCGCAGGACCTGCAAAGGTTTTCTGGTAGAGGATGCTCTCTACAGACCCTGGGCAGAGGGCTCATATAAAATAGATGTATATGAGGATCCTCTCATGGATCCTGTACACAGATCTTGCCAAGAGAGGCTGTCAACTGCACACAGATCTTGCCAAGATGCTCTCTGCAGATCTTGAACAGAGAACTTGTAGCGGGTCCTGCTACTGACAGATCCTACTAAGAGATCCTACCCAACGATCTTGCGCAGAGACCCTGCCCACGGTTATGGAGCGCGGTGCTTCATGAACATCCTTCAAGAGATCTTGCGTCAGATTTTGTAGAGGATGCTCCCCACAGATCTATCTTCAGTCTCAACAGGTCCTGAGGGGAGAACTTGTAGAGGATCCTTTCCAGGATCCTGCGCACAGATCTTGCCAGGGCATCCTACCCAGATTGCAGAACAGAAGAATTTGCTTGACTTCCTGACGCTTCTAACACGCATGCTCCACACGTTGAAAAGGACAACTCAGGCTCCTCAGGAACATAGGGACTTCGCGGCTTCTCAGTCCTCCAACGCCTTTCGCTCTCTCCTTTAGTCACCTGCGATTTGCTTTGTTTGGTCAGGTTTCATTGTGGGATCCACAGAGCACGCTGTTTGTCCTGGTTACCCATTCATCGCATGATGTCCTCCATACCACATGCCACAAAAAAAAACGCAGAAACAGCTACGATAAAATTGTTTTGTTGCGGGTTTTGTGGGAACGCGGCACAGCTGCGCAGCCTGCGTCCACAAGGCAGCTGCTTCGCAGAGAGCCCTATGTGGTTTGCATCTCCTCCATCGCAAGACAGGCACCGTTCCGGGGTGTTGGCGTGCATGCAGCTGAATGCGATTGGTTTTTGGAAAAGGAGATTGTCCGTGAGCAGCAATTGCCTGCGTTTACTCGCGCAGCAGCCAGCTTTGCAAACATATCGGATGTATCTCGTTTGAGAATGTTGAAGGCCTACGCACACATTGGGGGGGGCTTCTGAAGTTTTAGAAGCCCAACCAGCGTTCACCTTTAATTTGCCAATGAGAAAGCAGTCGTATGCGGTTCCGGAAAAGTATGTTGGTTCGACCTCTGCAAGATGAGCATTTAGCACAAGTATAAACAAACAATCAAACAAGCAAGCAAACAAACAAACAAACAAGCAAACAAGCAAGCAAACAAACAAACAAACAAACACTGAGCAAAAGACAAGCTGTACACGCTGAAAACCAAAGGGGCCCAATGCAACCGCGACACGGAGAAAGCGCAATCACAAGGTTCCGAAATCGCGTCAGAATGTAATTACGGAGCATCATAGAAATGGCGAGTTGGTCCCTTGTGACAGGAGGAGTGGGTGGACTCGTCGGGTCCCACCCTGGCTAAATCGAAAACAAGCTTTTGTCAAGATGAAAGTGCAAGCGATGTTTCTCCCCCAAGAAATTCCTGATCATGCCGGGTATATAGTAGGTCCCTAGGTATGTGCTGAATTCACATTTCCGAGTATGTGCACAATCAATCTGCAAGCAGCGCAAGAAAACCTTCTCAAGCGCAATGCCTCGATCCACTTTGAGTCAAGTATGTACGTAGGAATTGTCATGTGGCATGTGGCTGGATTGTTGCCCCCCAAACTCCTGCCGCCCCCAGAGCCCAAAGTCAGCCTCTGGAGCGGCAGAAATGCAGCGAAAATGTCAAAAGGTGCCAACATTCCAAGGACATGTGTGCTGTGTCGCCGTGTCAATACAGAAGCTGTGGTTTCTAGACAGTGGGAGCTGATACTAGCTGCTGAACATGGAACCTGCGCATAGCAAAAACTCCGGTCCAGCAGTAAATCAATTCTGAGGCCCACCCGGGCAGAAAATGTTTGAGCAGCCACCGTGATTTCATTGCTGCTTTCAGAATGGTCTCATCCACAAATCCAAATGAGCTGTCCACACGCAGTTTGCTTCAGCGCGATGGATTTCGCAGGCTGTGGTTGAGTGCGTATGGCTGCCGTTTCGCACGCAGCCCTTAAACCTACACAACGAACAATTTCATTCAATTTCAAGACAGTGCTCCAATCAAAGTCGTGTTTGGAGCAGGCTCCTGGGAAAGGGAAAGATGAGGCAACAGGCCCTCAGAATTGTAGCAGAGGCTTCTGCTGAGGTGATCAGGGCTCCCAAAGATAAGCAATGTTGGTCCCCTCACAGCCCCACCTTTTGTGGATTCCTTGGGTGAGGACGTTTCACTTGGAGCGAGAGGTGACACGTGGTGCCTCAATCACAATGAGCGCTCCTTTCGTGGCATGCCTTGATGCATCTCAAATCGGTTATGATGACTTACTAGGATTTACGGACGATCAAGCAAAGAGGGCTTCTTTGAGCTGTATGTTTCCTGTCTGCTGAGTAGCAACTTTCCAGGAGTTTTGGCCAGGGATGCAACCTTTTCCCATTTGTTTGCTTGTGCGGAAGGGTGGCGCACTGCATATCACGATGCAGGTTGAGATGGATGAGGGAGGAGGGAACTTTCAAATTGCGGCTTGGCTGTACTTGTTTCATTCAAGACAGTTGTGCAGCATTTACTGCTGGTGTCACATGCGCGTCGATGAGCTTCAATTCACCAACTTGTGGCAAAAAACAGATGCATGACATGTTATTGGCGATGGCGATGACGCATCATGCTTGAGGATTTTGAGCGGCTTGATTTATTTGTGTGCCACTATCTAAACAGGGAATGATGGATGTACGTGCATGATACGTACTCATGTACCCAAACATTGCAGCTGTGTTGCCATTTGTGAGAATCGCAGGCTACCTATGCTTTCATTCAGTTGGGCCAACCCTTGCTAGCCATTTGATGTGACATGTGTGTTGGCGTGCCAACTTACCTGGTACTGGGGCACATAAGCCAGCTTATGTTCTTGAAGTACGCCCTTCTATTGACACTTTGCTTCCGCAAGCCTCCGAAACACTGGGGACACATCCGTGAAGGGTTTGCACTGGCTTGGGATGTTGACTTATTACATTTGGACATGCTTTCTGGATTGCGATGGCTGGACCGTAAGAACCACAGTTGGACGTGAGCATGATGAGGAAATCTCTGAGGGAGTTTGAATGTTTTGCATCGTTTGGATTGTGACTGTGATAGCGACTCATTCAACACTGCTGATGCTTGCGGCTTCTTCAGGTTTTGCCGAAGCCCATCACCGCATCTTGGCAAGATCGAACCGGAGCATTTGTTTTTGTTGTGTTTGCCCGTTGCCCTCCCAGACACGGCCCCGCACTTGCTGCAGGCCCAGTACATCGAAGATGCATTTGAACACCTTAGACAGTGGTGGACCTTAGGCAAGGCGTGTGACGATCGAGCTGCGGGAGCATGGGAAAGCCAGTGTGTTTCTACTGGAAGTTTGTAGGGTGTCCAAGAGACGACTGCAGATATTCAACACTCTCCAAATGTTTCACACAAGTTCCTAAACATGACGCACCAATGCAAACTACATGAGGGCCCCATCAGAATCCCATGACGAGAATCGGGGATTCTATTTCTGGGGAATCTGAGGACATTTGTCAGGCGTGCTGGCTATGACCAGTCCGTTTGGATGGGTACCATCACTGGCAGTCACCCAAATTTGCAACACCATGTTCGGGTTGTTTCATATAACGGGGGTTTCCTCCAAGTGCTTCACCAGAAGGAAAAATGAACGGATTTGTTTAATTGTCTTAGAAATCAACATTCTCGGGATTTGTTGGCGCAACGATGAAGTTGTGGAGAACTGGGAAACGGTTTCACCTCATAAAATCTGGGATGAGCTGGTCAGCGTCGTGCCAGGCTATGGGCGGCAGTTGCCGGCTTGGAAGAACTTCCGAGCTGAGGAGATCGCCGCTTGGACCAAGTGATGCAGCTAAAGCTGCGCTTGCAACAGATTTCCGGCTGACAAAAGATGGGTGCAATTCTTTTGCGGACAATGAAAGAACGCCAAAATAAGAACAACCCATAAAAGAAAGAGACCCAATGAAAATCCCACAAGGCAGCGACGGCTACGTAATATCATTAGTGTTGCGCGATCATTAGACGGATGTCTGTCTTGGGAAGACGCCCTTAGCGTTCATCGATGCTGCCGGCATTTTTTGTTGTACGCAGTCTGGAAATCACATTCGAGGTAGCTTGCTTAAAAAGCATACGTCTTGCCAACTTTTGGAAGAAGCACAGCCAAATCAAAAAAGCTTGTTCTTTGACATACTTATCCAGATAGTCGTTCTGGATCGTGTTTGAAAATGGCCTTGGTCCCTGGGCAGTTGAACTTGGATGGGACGGTGTGGCGGGCTGTCAGGATCTTCTTGCAGCTGATGATGAGCAGCCCGGCAGCAAACATATCCTTACTGTCTACGGGGATTGCAGAGTTTGGGCCAAAGGTGAGGCAAGCATGGTTCTCCTGGGCTTTTTTTGTGGGTATCCCGCACATGTCGCCTGGGTGCATACTGATAGAGGTTAATCAGGATCCAGTTGACTGGAATCCTGGAACAATATGACATGTGTCACAAGTGGGCACGCGGTTCACGTTCTTCAATCAGCAAAAGCAGACGCCCATGCAACTGGCCGCTGGCACAACGCCCAACTCTCACACTCCGCCCGTAGCATCCTGGCATTGCTGGGGCCACCAACTGCAGCTAGCCTTTTTGGTTTAGGATGTTTCGGCAATTTCAGTGGCTTAGGGCACCACCCCTAAACTCTTACCTCCGAGGCCCGTGTGCCGGATGTCCTCGCAGATGGCCTTCACCCAAGCAGGGGTCCAGTCCGAGGCCGTGATCGAGGTTGACAGCGAG